GGACAAACTGCCTTTCACAGAGGTGGTTTCTTAGGCAACTCTCCCTCCTTTCCTTGTTACAAGCTTTCCTTTGAGCCACTCCCACTTGAGGCTATTTGGCGACAACCTAACTGGCAGCCCAGAGGAGGTGGCCGAAGAGACCCAATCAACAGCCTCAGGTCCGCGTTTCACAGGGGAGAGAAGGGAGAGCCGAGCGCCAGCTTCAGGCCAGGCACCCGCAGCCCACTGTGTGCTGTGTCTGCTGTGGACTGGCTGGGGCGGGGTGGGGGGCAATCCTCATTGTCCCCATTTGTAGAGGGGGAAGGAGACGCCCTGCCTTGCCCAGTCATGGCGCGGTGGGCAGAGGATAATGGCGTGGTCAGAGCCCGGTTCGGAAGGCAGCTGCTAAGATACAGCTTGAGAGACCCGTGTCCTCTGTTGGAGTCCTGCCTCCGCGTCCAGTCGGGCTTCCCACTGATGCACACCCAGGGAGGCAGAGCCTCAGGTGGTAGCATCACTGCCCCCCCCCCCCCCCCACCGTGGGAGACCTGGCTTGGTTTCCCGGCTCAGCTGTCGCGGGTGTTTATGGAGAGAATCAGCAAATGGGACCTCTTTCTCTCTGTCTCTCTGCCTTTCAAATAAAATAAAGATACGTGGTTTTTTTGTTTTTTTGTTTTTTGTTTTTTTTTTTTTGTTGTTGTTGTTGTTGTTGTTTTTTTAGGAAAAACCTAGTTCTGACCCTGGCTCTGCCACTGACCAGTGTGTGACACACACAAGCCTGGACCTCGTGGAAGCCAGGGTCCCATGCGAGAGACAGGTGAGGGCTGCTCCCGCCTCCCAGGATGGTCCTGCTCGCTCCAGTCCTGGGTCCCTGGGCCTGGTAGGCAGGGGCAGCGGGACGAGAGGCTGTCATCCCTCCACCTAGGGACTCAGGCCGGGGCTGGCCTCGCCCCGCCCCGGGACGGTCTCCTTTCCTTGACCTGCCCAGCGTTACCCAGGCTCTGCCTCCCCGCCCCTCTGGGCTTCAGACACTGGTGACGGGGAGCTCACTCTCCCTGGGACTGTGCCAGCAGCTCCGGGACGTCGGGGAAGGAGTGCACAGTCACTTGCCCAGGGCTTCCGTGCAGTGGGAAGAGGTGGCTTTGGGGCTCATGTCCAGGACCACTGAGGACAGGAGCCCCAGATGGGACCTGTGGCTGGGTCACCCTGAGCAAGTTGCTGCCCCTCTCTGGGCCTTCACTTCTGGGACACTGGGGCTGGGATTCCGGATCCGCTTCTCAGCGAATCCAACCCAGTCCTGCCGGTGAAGGACTCAGGACAGAGGCGGGGCCTGTGGGAAACGCTGTGACTCCCCTGAGGTCTCAAATCCAGCCCCGCCCAGCAGCCACCCCCTCCTCACCTCCCCCCCCAACCCAGCTCTGAAGGCTCAGCTGAGGTTGAGGCCTCTCTGGGCAGGAGTTGAAGGCAGGGCGTGCAGAGGCCACACTGGCATCCACTGTGCCTTCTGGGTGTCTCCTAGGACACCCCGAGACGAGAAGCGGGGCTTGAGCAGGAAATCCAGCCCGGGGTTCCTATCGTGGGGAAGAGAGAAGGTGAATTCTGTGACCTGGGGCAGGGCTGTGCATGCAGCAGGTGGCAGCTGCTCCCTTCCCAGGGGCCGCGGGCACCTCAGGTCCCTTCCAGGCATCTGCAGGCATCTTCCAGGGTGTAGAATGGCCAGGGCGAGGAGGGGTGGCTGGGTCTGGGAGCTGGGAGCAGGCTCAGATCTGAAGAGAGTCGGAGCGGGCAAGGGGAGCACCAGTGAATGGGTTTCTGTCCCAGGACGGTGCCAACCCCCGGGGGCCACAGCACAGCGCGTCTGGGGACAGAAACAAGTTCAGCAGCCCACGAGGGTGGTTTGTAGAGGCCAGAAGGGATTGTCACTGTACTTGGACCACCCTGGGGAGCTACTGAGAGTTTTAGGCAGGGAGTAGCGGGTCAGATTCAGGGAAGAAACGCTCGGTGGCTCTCTGCGGGACAGGAAGAGATGACAGCTGGGGCAAGAGAGTGGCCACGGGGGGACCGGCTGATGCCAGATGCAAGGGGCAGGGTCCCCAAGATGTGGATTGGACGGAAGGGGGAGAGGAAGAAGCTGCAGGTGTCCCCGAAAATGGACGGTGGGGCCCCGCAGTGGGGAGGAGCAGGGACAGGGACTGACCAGGGTCCCACCAAGGCGTGGGGTCGCTGGCACTGAAGCTGGGATGCTGGCCCAATCCGAGGGGCCAGGAGGACCAGGGAGCCTAAGAGCAGGCAGGAGCAGGGGGCAGATGGAGCCCTAAGGACCGGGGGCCTGTTCTGGCGCTGGCCCCAAGGCGGGTATCCCCGGGGAGGAGCCGGGAAGGGCTCAGAGGTTGGGTGCGGGCGCTGAGCGAACCCAGAGGTGAAGGGGCAAGTCGTGAGGGAGGGGGTGGGCAGCGGATGGAGGCCGCCCGGGTCCCGGGAGACGGGGGCGGGTGGCAGGAGACAGCAGCCCAGGGGCTTCCCCCGCGCGGGGGCGCGGGGTCTCTCCGCGACGCAGGCCTCGGGAGCTTCCAGTTCGACACGCGGAGACGCGAAGGGGACCCTGGCCTCGCTCTGGGACCCACAGGGATGAAGCCCGGGAAGCCGAGGCCCGGAGGTGGCCTGGCTCCTCCCGAGGGTTCCCGGATCCCGGGGGCGGGGAGAGGGCTCCCGGACTCCCTGACGCACCCAGTGTCCGCGCAGTCGAGGCCTGAACCGCGCGGCCCCGGCCCCGGCCCCGCCCAGGCCCTCGACGTCCTCGCGCCTCCCGCCCCAGCACAGCCGTGTCTCATTACCGCCCCTCCCCCGCCCGCCGCGCGAGCCGGGGGTCCCAGTGTCGGGGGAGGGGCGGACTGTAATCAATCCCAGGCCGGAAATTCTCCCCGAGGGGCCCGGCCGGGCTGCGGGTGGGAGGGGGCCCGTGCCGCCCCCGCCCCCCGGGCCCGCCCCCCGCATCATGGAAACTGGGCAGCCGGCCCGACCCCCGCCGGCTCCCGCCACATTCCTGCCTCCGGGGGCGCGCGCGGGGAGCCACGCGCCCCCTGCAGGCCCCCCAGCGCCCTCCTCCTCCTCCCCTCGTCCGTGGCGAGCGCGTCTTCCTAGGGGAGACGCACCCACCCTGCTCCCTGCAGATTCAGGCCGGGGCCGGGCGCCCCCTCCCCGGGATTCCAAATCGCCGAGGACTCGCGGGCTGCGCCCGGCTTTGGGCTCAGCCCTTGGCGCCCCCTGTGCGGGGCAAGCCGCGCTGTGCCCGTCTTGCAGATGAAGGCAGTGAGGCTCGCAGCGGGGAGGCTGTGGGGCCGGCAGGGCCAGGCTCGGGCCGCCCCCCCACCCCGGGTGCCTGGACGGAGGCTCCGCAGGCGGGGCGGCAAGCGGGGTAGGGGGCCTGGGCTCAGGCCTCAGAGTCCCGGTTTGGGGAGGGGGCGCCTTCCCAGGGCTTTGAGAACGGCGAGAGATGAGGGTGAAGGGTCGTGGGGGTGGCGGGACTCGGGCCCCGTCCCCAGAATCTCCAGGCGCACGACCCGCGCTCACCTGCGACCCTCAGCTCTGAGCTGCCGCCTTTAGGTCGGGGCCCACCGGGGTCGCAGGGTCCCCGGGACTCCCAGGGGCGGGGCCTGGCTGAGTGGGGCGGGGCCGGGGGCGGGTCCCGTGGAGATAGAGGCGGCGCGCAGGACGGCGGCGCGCGGACTCGGACCCGGACCCGCCTGGGCGCGGCGGCGCCAGGTGAGCAAATCAGGGTGCATGGACTGCCCCCCCAACTTTCTTTAACTTTTTGCTCGGCCCCTCCGACGGGAAGGGACCCTGGGGGCGGGAGCCTGGTCCTCCCTTTGCCCCATCTTAGAGTGGGGTCGCGGACAGTGGCCGGCCCCGGGGGAACCGGGAACTCGGCCCCGTGCAGAATCCCGCGGGGAGGGGCCGTCGGGCCACGGCTCCAAGCGCCCGCCTCCCTGGGCTCCCCGCGTCGGCGCACGCCCTGCCGAGGCTCGGGCTCTCTGGGCTTGGCCCCCTCGTTCTGTTCTGCACGTTTGCGCCCCCCTCCTGGCGGGGACGCCGCGGCTCGGGGTGACCTGTCTGGAACTGGGGCCGCAGTTCAGGGTGGAGGCGCGGTGGCCATTCCCGGGTTCCGGGCTGGGAAGAGGAACCCCCTACTCAGGCACGGCGGGTAACGGGCCTCACTCTTCCCAGGACGGCCCGGTGGCTGCGCCGAGAGGTGCCGGTGCCCAGGGCCGGAACCCGGGGGTCCGCGGCGCTGTGACCCCAACGGGCAGCTCGGCCTCGAGGGCGACTTTCCATCCGTGAGAACCAGGCTCGGACGCGGTCGGCGCCGCGGCTCCGTCCAGGCTCTGGGCCTGCGGCGCGCCCCTGGGAGGCAGCAGGGGTGGAAGCCCTGCCTGGATCTTCGCGGGTGCGGATGGGGCCGGGAGAGTGGCAGGGCCTCCTCCCCAGCTCCTGAGCTGCGCCGCCCGACAGCCAGGTCCCGACCCTCCTCTCGCCCGTGGCCCCGGCGCCCGGGCGGGGGCCGCGTGTCTTCCCACGCCCTTCTTTCGTGGGGGCCACACCACGCGCTGCCCGGCTTCTTGGTCTCGGTCCGGATCCATAGCTCACCCCGCAGGCCGGGCGCGATCGGCAGCCAGGAGGGGCCAGGGCTGTGCGGCCCCGACCCCGGGCGGCCCGAGGCGCAGGGGCGGCGCTGCTGTCGCCGGGACGCGGGCCACTGAGGCCTCCGGCGGAGGAGGCCGGGCGGCGGGATGATTCATCCCGAGGAGCCCGACTCGGGAACGCGGCAACCTGGGAGCAGCAGCCCTGGCGGGGCCGCCGCGAGAGCCGCGAGTGGAGTCCAGCGAGGCTCTGCGCCCAGTCCCGGCCGCCGCCAGCCTCCTGCCGGGGCCCCAGCCCGGCCGCTGGGGGGAGGGGAGGCTCCTTCTGTGCGGAGTTGAAGAGGATCCCGGGCAGAGGCCGCCGCCGCCGCCGCCTCGCCTGCTGTCCCTGGCTGCTCTTGGTTGGAGCGGTCTTCCCGTTGTCTAGCTCGAGTCTCTCCTGCTGCAGCTTCAGCGCTGACCGAGACGGTCTGCAAGGAGGGAGCGGGCGGGGAGAGGCTGGAGTCTGGGCCACCCCCTCCTCCCACGCTGCGGTAAGTGCGACGCGGTAGGGGGGAGCTGGGACCCGCGGGCGACCCTGCGGCCCCGGGCAGCCGGAGCGCTCCTCCCTCCAGCACTCTGGGGTGGCCACGTGCGGGGGTGGGGTGAGCCCGCGCGGTACTTACCCCGGGACGCGGCTGCCGGGGCCCCGCGCTGCCCGAGGCCGCGGACTCGCGGGCTGCCCGCGCCGGGAGCCGGGAGCAGGGGATGCGCCAGGGAGCAGCCGGCGCGCCCCTCCCACCTCCACGCGCGGGCCCGGCCAACTCGGGCTTGTGCCGCGCGTCTCTGGCTCCGAGCTCCGCTGCGGAAAACCCGAGCGGGGGCGGCTCCCTGCCTCGCAGCCCGGGAAAGTCCGGGGGCGGCCGCCAGGGATCTCCAAGCGGCCTGGGCGAGGCGACCCGAGCTTCCCTCCCGGATCTGGGCCCCGAGCCTGGCGCTCCGAACCGGGGCCCGTCGGATCACTCCCTGCCTCGCATCTTCTCTCTGCAGAGCGCCCAGACGACGGCGGGATGACGGCTGGGAGTCCCGGAGACTGCGCCGAGGTGCGGAGGAGCCCCGAGGGCCGCGTCTCCCGCCTGGGCCGCCGCCTGGGCCGCCGCCGGCGCCCGCGCTCCCCACCGGAGCCTCTGCGGGTGCGGGCCCGGCTGCGGCTGCGCTCGCCGTCGGGGGCGTTCGCGGCGCTGGGGGCGCTAGTGGTCCTGGTGGGCATGGGCATCGCCGTGGCTGGCTACTGGCCGCACCGCGCGGGGGCCCCTGGGCCCCGGGCTGCCAACAGCAGCTCACACCCGGTGGGCGAGCTCCGGCGCGAGGGGCGCGGCGCCGGCCGGGCTCACGGCCCGCACGAGCGGCTGCGGCTCCTGGGGCCGGTGATCATGGGCGCCGGCCTGTTCGTGTTTATCTGCGCCAACACGCTTCTGTATGAAAACCGAGACTTGGAGACGCGACGGCTCCGTCAGGGGGTGCTGCGCGCCCAGGCCCTGCGGCCCCCCGACGGCCCAGGCTGGGACTGTGCGCTCCTACCCAGCCCCGGCCCCAGGACTCCGCGGGCCATAGGCTGTGCAGAGCCAGACAACTGGGACCTGTCCCCGCGTCGGGGAACCTCGCCCGTCCCATCGGTGCGGAGCCTGCGTTCAGAACCTGCTAACCCTCGCCTGGCCTTGCCTGCCCTGCTCAACAGCTACTCGCTGAAGGGCCCGGGGCTGCCCCCACCCTGGGGGCCGAGGGCCCAGCCTGGTCACGTGATCATCACCGTGCAGCCCTCTGGTTCCTGCATCGAACATTCCAAGTCTCTGGATCTGGGCCTTGGGGAGCTCCTCCTTGGGTCCCCTGCGGCTCGAGACTGTGCGCACCGAAGCTGGCCTCGCCTGGACCGCCTCAGTCTGGGGGGCTATGCCAAGCTGGGAGGAGGAGGGGACTTGGGTGCCCGGGTCTGAGGACGGGGAGGACAGCCTGCCGTGAGGCTGCAGCATGGACCATGGAAACAGGACCACAGGACCAGGAGTCTCCCTGTGGAGCAGTCGTCTGTCACATCCCAGCTGGAGCTGGATGCTCTGATCACAAAGGCGTGCGGGCAGGGAAATGCCAGTTGCACTGGGTAGGGTCAGGAGCTGGAGAGGGCTTGTTTCACCATGGACAGTGGAGACCAGCACACCTCAGCCTCCGGAATTTCTTCAGCCTCCAGATGTGGCTTTAGCCCTGGACAGGTACCTGAAGGGGCTGGAGGTCCAGGCCAAGGTGACTGGGGGAGATGCACCCGGTGTCCTGGCACGTCCACAGGGGTAGGCAAGGACCGCTAAGACCTGGAAGGTAGGCTGGGATGTGCCAGGCCAGGCCAGGCCCCTTCTAAGGCGGCCTGGAGGTGGAGTTTGGGCCTCGGGGAAGATGGGCAATGAGTGGAGCTGAGACCCTCCACTGCCATCTGGGATGGGGACTGAGCCTTCAGCTCCCACCACCTCAATCCCCTCCTTCCTCAGCCATGCAGGGTCTCTCCCACAGGCCCGCACCACTGCCACTGCCTCCAGGGGGGCCCAGCCCCTCCCCACAGCCGAGGAGCCCCTCTCTCCTCTCTTAGCTGTGGTCTGTGCTGCACAATGCCCAGCGGGGCAGAGCATGTGCCAGTTCCCAGAAGTTCCCGCGCACGGTGCTGGAGCTGCATCCTGTCCGATGCCGCGCGTCAGAGAGCGGCTGGAGTTCAGGTCTCCCGGAGCAGTGTTTGCTTTCCCGGTTACCAGGAGATGAACGGAGAAGTGGATCAATCCTCAGCCGGTCTTTTTTTTTTTTTTAGTTTATTGAAAAATGCAATACAAGAAGCAAGACCAAATACATATCTAAACACTACAACCACTTCTTTTACTACAAAAGGCCGAAACAGCAGACCTAATTATTGCCTATTTACTCTAAAGATTTTGCCAATTTGATTCTGCTGCCATAGTTCCTATTTTGTCAAGAAATGTAAACAACTACCTGATATGATTTGTAATTTTTTAAAAATTTACAAAGCTCCTTCATTTTTGTCACCAAAATAATACATTTGCGAGATTTGTAAAAACAACCAGCCTGGGGCTGAGACCCTGGGCAGACGTCCCAGGGGCATCGAGGGTGCTGGTCAGGCCGCAGCTCTGGCGCCACTTCCCGAGGTGGAGTCTCCTCCCAGCAACCCAGGGAAGCCTGGGGGAGGAGTGGGCAGAGGCACCCGGCGGGGCCCAGCATTCGGCTTAGGAATACAGGTCTTGCCTTTGTGGGTGGGTGGCAGCGATCTCATGTGGCTTGGGAGAAATTTTTATTTCTCGAGTGAAAATAAAATTGCAGCAGGAGTTGTCACTGTGGTGTGTCTGAGTCACTTTAGGAAGATTGCTGCCAAGTGCCTGGCCCTGCAAATGCGCGCTCTCCTTCCCCTCCGCCATTTCTACCTGGACAGTCTGATTTTCTTCACACACACACACACGCACACAACCGCAGAAAGAAAAAAACCCAAACAACTGCCAAGCCCCAAGATTTGGTGCCAGAGAAGAAAGGGGAAGAGACCTGGAAGGCGTGAGCGTTCCAGGCGAGGAAGCCCCGGGCAGCAGCTGGCTGCAGAGCTGAGCTACAGTGCAGGCCTCCAGATCCACGCGAGGAAGCTGCCACCTGAGCTGAGCACAGGATAGTCCCTATGCTGTTTTTTTTTTTTTTTTTAATGTTTACTTATTTCCATCTACTTGAAAGGGAGCGGCAGAGGAGAGAAAGAGAGATTGAGATTTTTCTATCCACTGCTTCATTCACCAAATGCCCACAACAGCCAGGGCTGGGCCAGGCTGAAGCCAGGAGTCAGGGACTCCATCTGGGTCTCCCAACTGGATGGCAGGGGCCCAAGCACTTGAGCCATCACCCACTGCCTCCCAGGATGCACTAAGCATGCGAAGACTTCCGATGGACAGGCTGTGCCCTCCTTTCCCCCACCTTCATTCCACAGGTGGGTGCCCCAGGACAGCTGGCCATGGGAAGTGAGCTCGCGTGGCATGCTGGTTTGGTGTAAGTCAGATTCCTAACTTGCCACTGCTCCTGGAAACATGGCTCTGGCCTGAGCACCACCCCGAAAAACCCCGTCCCTTCAGACCCCAAGCTTGTTCCTGAGTTAGGACAGTGTCCTTCCCCCAAGCCTGTCATCCGCAACCTGTGCCCTTCCTTCCCTCCCCAGGGAGAGCTGCCTATTGGCAGGACAGTCTCGGATGAGAAGTAAAAGAAAAATGCACACCCAAACTCAGTTCCAACAGTTGAGTCTGTCTAAACTCAGCAGAAACTGGACACAGGCAGCGGCTCCCATGTCAGGGCAGAGGCTTGCACCGCCTGCTCCCTGCCCTGAACCCCCAGCAGTTTCTGTCTGTGACCCACTGTCTTACAAAGTTCACGGCTAGCCTAGAATTAGGATCCTAAGAAGCTTCCAGGCAGCTCTGTGGGAAGCAAGCTGGAAGATGAGAGATTTGGGGACACCAGTCCTTATTTCCAAAACCAAAACCAAGGGGAAAAAAAGAAACGAAAGCCCAAACCTACCACAAAATCAAGCATACAGAACCTGACGGACCTCAGATGGCCTGTGGGACTGAGCAGAGCTGGGGCTTGTACCCCTGTCATGTTTGTCCTGTGGGAAGGGTGAACCCTAAAAGCCAATCCTCTTGCTCCAGAAAGGTGGCCTCAGGCAGGTGCCCATTGGGAGAGGAGAGTTCACAGAATACAGCCCCTCCCACCACATTCTCTCATCACTGCTGGTGAAAGAAGGAGGCCCAGCCACCCGGACCTAGTTCTCAGCAGGATCCGACAGGGAAACTCCACCATTCCCCCTGTGGAGTGCACACGCCCCGGACATACGTTAAAAATCTCATTAACTTTCTTTTCCACATCACCACCAAACGTGTTCCATTACCGCTTTTGGCCAAAAGTGCCTCTTTTCCCGTGAGTTCGGTCTCCTGAGCTGGGAGTGGGGACAGCACTGAAGAGTCACTGCTTCTGATGAGGTAAGGGGGCGGCTGGGGAGGTGAAGGCCACAGATTTGTTCCAACATTCACAGTATCAGATATATCAGGAGCGACTTCTTATGTCCTTGTTATAAAGAATCTCCAAAAAGAAAGACTAAGAGGGAAGGAGAAAAAAATACTACATTCTCAGCAGAGGTCTTTGCCTCACCAGACACCCTCAGCAAAAGGACAGGGACATCGTTCTGAGGTCTGTAGGTCAGGCAGTTGTCCTGCTGGCCACTGTGGGAAAGTCACGTCACTGGCTCTGGGAACGCTGGGTCAGGCCGTTTCTGCTGTTGTCCAAAGGGCATAAACCCAGGGGGAAGCAGGAGTCTCTCCGAGCTGGCTTTGGCCTCCAACAAAGGTGGCAGAGTCTGGAGCATTTCCTGAAGGAGTCTGTGGACCCTGTCGGTATCTGGGTTGGAAATCAGTGAGGAAAGGCTAGGCTGAAGGGGTTACAAAGTACCCCATAAAAAAATTCTTTAAAAACTGTCCATAGAATGAAAAGTTGAATAATTTCCGGTATCACAATATAGAAAAAAGGTCTTGAAAAGGATCAGTGATATCTAGAATCTCTTGATATAAACTCCAAATAGAAAAGGAAATTCAGTTTCTGGTGGTTTAGGATAATCTTGAAAATCTGAAGTCTGACTATTGCAGGTTAGCTTCTTTATAATTTCGCTGGTTTCTCTTGGATGGGAGAAGGGCAGGGAGGTGGGGGTAGGGTAGTTCCTAGAGGAAACAAAGCAGCACATTTTTAAATCCTGCAAAGGAGAAAGCTTCCCATCCCACTGCCAGGCCCTTGCAGTCATGAGTGACATTTCACAGAGCTCAGTGAGGATACCTGGTGATGGATGGCTTCTTCCAGTCATTTGTACGCACTGTCCATCTGGTCCCTGATCCCCAAAAGCGGCTTCCTGCTTCCAACTCTCTGGTTTGTTCTCAGAGCCTCAGTCATCCTCCCGCCCCACTCCTCCTCCTCCATTTCTAGACAGTGCGACCCTGCTCTTGGTTTTTTCTACTCTGGCTGTCCCAGGGCCCGTGACACAGCAGAACAGCAAAGGGGAGGGAAAGGGGAGGTGGAGAAGCAGGAGGGGGCAGAAGTTGTAGGAGGTGAGTGGGCGTTTGCACCCAAGTGCGGGGAAGCTCCTCCTACCCACACTGCTGGCACTGCTGGGGGCAGGACACAAATGACCCGGCTGCTTTAACTGGAGCCAGTATGTAATAATCCCCCCTCTCCTCCCTCTCACCACTCCCCTGTCTTTGCTTTATCAAATCCCAGCGTGGACCGCTCTAGGAGTGTGGCCCTGGCGCGTCCAGGGTTCTTGCCGGTGCTCTCTCAGGCTGGAACAGGGGCTGCCCTGGAACCCAGCAGGAACACCCCCTACCTGAGCTCACTCCTCAGAGATCTCGGTCTCCTGATGGACGACCACCTTGGTCACTGACATGTCCGGGTGCTGTTCCTTTGCCTCCTTGATGGCTTGTACAAGGACCTATGAAAGACAGAAAACAATCTCATCAGTCAAAAAGCAGCCTCGCTGGTGAAGGCAGGCAGGGGATCACAGGACATGATTTCTCTGATGCCCTGACAGATTCAATCTTTCTCTCTGCAGTGGCAGGACAGCACTGAGGTTGCACAAGCTGACAACTCCCCTACCCAGCCTAGGAGGGTCTCAGACTGGCAACAGACAGGGGAGGCAGCACAGCCTTCGAGGAACAGCAAAGGGCTCCGCGGATGACAGCGGCACGGCCCGCCAGGTGTGAGAAGATGCCCTCAGGAAGCATGCAGAGCCCAGAACCAATCTGTGCCCAACACCAGGCGACCCGGACGTTCAGGACAGGAGAGGAGGGTAAGAAACGTGCTAGAGAAGAGACGTTTTCAGCTAAAGTAGAATGACGGAGGGAAGAAATGAATCGTGATAAAACACACAGGTAAGTAGAAGTCTCTTATAAATAAAGTATCCTTTTTGTAATCTTGATGTAACGTACCTTTTAATAGAGATATGAGATTGCATGTAAAATTTCTGTAAGCAATTTCCAAAAAAAAAAAAAAAAAGGAGGAAGGCCTATTACATGCCATGTACCAGCATAAGCACATCATTCGCTTAATACATGAGGGTAGTACCATTATTTCCATTTTATAGATGAGGAAACTGAAGTTCAGAGGTTAAATAAAGTGCTGTTTTCACACCTAGAAAGTAATGCAACAGCAATTTAAACCCAGGCTTTCCTCTCTACCATACTGTCCTTTCGTCTCCAAGGTGAGCATCTGGAATAGTTTTGGTTGTTCTAGAAAAGCTAATGAGAGCAGAAAGGAAGTCACTGGAGAGCCATGACATCACTCTGCATGGTCTATAGCCCCCATCAAAAAGGACTCCAGCTGGAACCGATCAACTGACTGCTCCCCTCGGCTCTTAAGAGCCATCTCCAGGAGGGATGAAGTTAAGAAGGAAGACTCCTCTGGTGGTCCCTTGGCTCCATGAAAGGCATTCTTGGAACGGCCACCTGTGCAGATCCCTGTTCATCCAACCTCATCTGCTCACACTGCGGCCTGCTTCAGGCCCTCTTTTTTTAAAAATTTATTTCCCTTATTTGGAAGGGAAGAGTGACAGAGACAGAGAGGGAGAGAGAGACAGAGAAGTTTTGATTTTTCCATCTGCCAGTTCACTCCCCAGATGGCTGCAATGGCCGGGACTGGGCCAGGCCAAAGCCAGGGACTCCATCTGGGTCTTCCAAGCACTTGGGCCATCATCTACTGCCTTCCCAGGTGCATTAGTAGGAAGCAGAGCACTTGAACTGATGCTCTGATGTGGGATGTGGGTGTCCAAAATGGCAGCTTAACTGATTACGTCACAACCCTGCCCCTTCAACTCCTCTTCTTGGTTGACTCTGCCTACTCTCAACTCTAGGAAGCCCTCACTGCACCGCTGTCAACAATCCTTTCTAAAGTGCCCCCTCCCAGCCAGACAGCATCATATCTTATTCCTCTCACGGATCTCTCAGTACCTAGAAGAATGGGGCCCTGGAGCATGTCTCTGGGCTATCAAGTGTACTCGTCCCTCTGTCACAACAACCCTGGGAGAAACCTGTGATGATCTTTATTTTATACATGGTGGAACTACAGCTCAAAGGTACACACCCAGTTTGCAGACTAAGCAATCAACCCAGGCCTGTGTCACTCCAACCCAAACACCTGTTCCCCATCAGGACTCGCGCTGTCTCGTGCAGACTGAGCAAATAGCAGGGGCTCCCATCACATCACACTGAGGGAGGGTCCAGGCTGGCACCGCAGCAGAGCCCAGGGAGCTGGGCAAACAGAAGCTTCTCCCT